AGCCCCGGCTGGCCTTAAACTCACTATGCAGCCCAGGCTGGCCTCAAACTCATGGCAATCTTCCTGCTTCAGCATCCCAAGTGCTGGGATTACAGACCTCTTTCTGCTTTGACCCATCCTATCTTGTTCAGCAGATCTCAATCACAGCCAAGAATCCAGGCCAACCTCATGTCCAAAGAGCCAGGGAATGCAGGTCTGTCACCACCTCGGTCCCATCCCACTGCCAGTTCCCAGGACCCCATTGCATTCTTGAGATGCTGTGGGCAGGGGCTGGGGTTCGGGTTCTCCTTTTTCAGAAGGTCCAGAATGGAGAATTCAGCCACTCTGGGCCCGCTAGCTGGTCATCTCCAGATCCCCAGTGGAGGCTCTAATGCAACGCCTGGAGGGTTCTTACCTGCCACCCCTTCCATCCCTTTATCTCTAAGCACTTCCCCTGGGTACCCAGTGACTCCTGGCTTCCCTGCTCTGGGATGTGGAGTGTTGAGTTTCCGGGGATGAGAGCAAACATTGGCAGAGCCAAGCGATTGTCCGGAAATGTCACAGCCCGATGACCATCCTTTTTGCCTAAACCTGCCGTGATTTGGATGTAAAAATCACCATCAGGATCATGTGTTTGAATACTTGGTTCTCAAAGTGGGCATCTTGCAATGGGCAGTCCAGATATTACACCCACCTTTGCGTCCTCCCAAGCCAGTGCCTCTATTGCTCCTGCTGCCGTCCTCTGCTGACGTCAGACTCCAACCTCCCATATTCCTCTAACCCCAGTAAAACTCATTGGTTCATCAAGTCGGACATTGGTGGTGTCCTTACTTTGGTCTGTCACTGGTTCCCTATGTGGGATGAGATGTTTGTTCACATCTCCCCAGGAATAGTGTCACCCAGAACCATCTAAGCTCTACTTGCTGCCTCCAGTGACAGGTCCCTCCTCTTTGATGCCCAGGACACCACCACACCTTGGGAGAGTCACTTGGGAGCCTCAGGTGAGGGAGATGACGTGTTCTGTGGTCAGGGGACTCCTGTGAGAAGGGATTCCACATTCTTACAGCATACCTGTGAGTCCTTAAATTTTTTTTTGATTTATTTTCATTTTATGTGTATGAGTGTTATATATGTATAAGTGTGCCCGTGTCCTGCAGTGCCCTCAGAGGACAGAAAGTAGCACTGGATCCTGAGGAACTGGAGTTATAGGCTGTTGTTAGTCGCCAAGTGGGTGCTGGAATTTGAACCTGGGTCTTCTGCAAGAACAGCCAGTGCTCGTAACCGCTGAGCCATCTCTCCAACCCCATCATCTCTCTAACCACATCATACCCCATAAGTATTCTGCATTTTGTATTTTACTCAATGACTGTCCATGAGTCCATCAATGTCTGTCTTCTGAGACCCTGTTTGTGTCCTCTACCCAAGTCTGGCCCCATGGACCCTGGTGACTGCCAAAGTGTCTTGGTCCTTTGCAGGACAAATCGATGTGGGTGAACTCATCAGGATGGGGTCACATTGCGTGCTGAGGCCCGCTGTGGGTGATCTGGCCAGGGACTTGGCTCCCATAGCACCTATTTTGAGAAGTGGGCCATTTAAAATAGAAGGGCCCTGAGTACGCAGTTTGAAACTCACAAAGCAATAAGCTAAGACAATAACTCTCAGTCTCTGGACTTTTCACAATGGAATTTTTTCTTAAGTGCTTCAGACTCATTGAGGAGAAAAAGAACCAGTTCAATTGTCTTTAAAGACAGAGCAGCCTTGGGGCAGAATGCTGGGGCCAGCCTGAAGGATGGTCTTGTTTACAAGCACAGCAGGCACTTAGCAGCTGGGGAGAGCTGTGTCCTGGTTTGACACATGGAGGCCTATAAAACCCATTTGGGGAATTTCTGGTGTTTCTACCAGTGAAATTAAATGTCTCTACAAGAGATTGGTCAGTCGAACCCAAAAGCAAGGCAAAGTCTCTTGCTAAAGATAAACAAATATCTAACAACCAGAAGGCCCTTGGGTCTCACCCAAGTCTTCCCCCTCAGATTATCGTGTCTAGAACTATCCTCAGAGACCCACCTCGCGGTATGTCTCCTAGGTGACTTCCAGATCCCCTCAAGTTGAAGTTGAAAATGTTTATCAAATGAAAAGACATCATTAAAAAAATAAATCGGGGCTGGAGAGATGGCTCAGTGGTTAAGAACACTGGTTATTCTTGTAGAAGACCTGGGTTTGAATCCCAGCACCCACATGGCAGCTAACAACTGTCCGTAACTCCAGTTCCAGGGGATCCAACAGCCTCTTCTGTCCTCTGCAGGCATTGCGTGACACGGGTGTACTTACCTACATGCAGGTAATATACACATACACATAATATAAAAATAATAAATAAAACATTTTTTAAAAAAGAAAAGGAACTCCAGAGACTGAGCAAAACAGTCACAAAATATGCATCTGACAACAGACTCATGTCAGCCCCTCTGAAGAACTCCCACAACTCAATATTAAAAGAGGAACAACCTGGGGTTAATATTGGATCGTCTACCCAGGATCTGAAGCCAGCGTAGAGACTTGTGTCTGGGCAGGTCTGTCATCCACCACAATCTTTGGTGTTAGACTGATTCAGACTTACTTCCTGGTCCCTTCCTCGAAGCTTCTCCCCATTGGCTGGTGATACACACAGATTCCTAAGTGGCACGAACCTGTTCTTGACCAGGGCCTCCAAGAGCCAACCCACTTCCTCTCCAGTTCTGGGACGAGCCGTGTTCACCAGTTAATCTTGTTGGCTACTCAACTGCTCTGCGTCTCGCTCTCCTCCAGTCTCAGAGGAGGAGTGCTCAGCCTCCCAGCTGGGAGTCTCCCAGGCTTGTGATCTGCAGCACTCACACAGCAGGGAGGGTTGGGGCCATTTTCCAAGGCTGAGACATCATGGCAGAAGTGACCTGGAGTACTCCAGGCCCGGCTTCTGCCTTCCTCCCAGAGGCAGCTCCTGAGGTTCGGAATGGGACGGCACATTCTCTCTCCAGGACCCACAGTATCTGGGAATCAAATGAAGGGCACCCCAAGAATTGTGGGTTCTGTCCAAGGGCTGCCTCCTCTGGATCCGGATGGCGAGGACAGGTTCCAAGAGGTGACCAGTAAATGCCCCAGGCTGGAGCTGTCCAGAAATGCCCACTTGGGGAGGCGTGGTCCAGGGGGAGCTAACAGGAGGGGCCCCAGGGTCAGGCCACCAGGACAGCCACGTGCCTACTCCTCATCCCCATCTCTCAGAATGGCCCAGGGCGGCCTCAGCTTCAGGTCCTACATGAGTGGCTCTGACCTCAGCCCTGGTCAGCCTGGACCCTGCAGGGCAGCAGCTGCAGAGGACTTCCTGGCAGTGGGACCTGTCTGCTGAGCTCCCAGCGTGGGCATGAGGAGGTTCAGCTACCAGTTAATAACAGTTACTCTGTTTTAGCAATATAAGGCCACCAAGCTGCCCTGTCATCACATCAGCAAAGAGGAACTGTGCGCTGGGGGACACGGAACATTCAGAGTCTGCAGAAGAGAGGCAGGCAGGCTGGGTGCCCCATCTCAGCTCCCTGTGCTGTGTGCCAGTCTTCAGGCTGTCTAATCTACCATCTATCTGTCAATCATCTACCATCTACCAATCGTCTATTAATCATCTAGCTATCATCTATTCAACTAGCATCCATCTATAATCAATCATCTGTCTAGCCACCTACCAATCCATCTTTTTAGCTATGTATCCATCCACCCATTCATCCACCCATCTATTTACCCATCTATCCACCCTTCTACCCATCTATCTATCTATCCATCCACCCATTCTTCTACCCATCCACCCATCTAGTCTATTAATCATCTAGCTATCATCTATTCAACTAGCATCCATCTATAATCAATCATCTGTCTAGCCACCTACCAATCCATCTTTTTAGCTATGTATCCATCCACCCATTCATCCACCCATCTATTTACCCATCTATCCACCCTTCTACCCATCTATCTATCTATCCATCCACCCATTCTTCTACCCATCCACCCATCTATCCATCCACCCATTTACCCATCCATCCATCATCCATCCATCCATCCATCTACCCATCACTCATCTACCCATCTATCCATCACCCATCCACCCATCATCCACCCATCCATCCATCCATCACCCACCCATCCATCATCCATCCATCCATCCATCCACCCATCATCCATCCATCCATCCACCCATCCATCCATCATCCACCCACCCATCATCCATCCATCCACCCATCATCCATCCATCCATCCACCCATCATCCATCCATCCACCCATTCACTCATCCATCCATCCATCACCCATCCACCCATCATTCATCCATCCACCCATTCACTCATCCACCCATCTATCCATCCATCCATCCATCATCCACCCATCCATCATCCATCCATCCACCCATCCACCCATCATCCATCCATCCATCCATCACCCATCCATCCATCCATCCACCCATTCACTCATCCACCCATCCATCACCCATCCACCCATCATCCATCCATCCACCCATCCACCCATCATCCATCCATCCATCCATCTACCCATTCACTCATCTACCCATCTATCCATCACCCATCCACCCATCATCCACCCATCCATCCATCCATCACCCACCCATCCATCATCCATCCATCCATCCATCTATCTATCCATCTCCATCCATCCACCCATCCGTCCATCCATCCATCTCCATCCATCCACCCACCCATCCATCCATCCATCCATCCACCCACCCATCCACC